CTCATACTCACCTCCAGCCTCATACTCACCTCCAGCCTCATACTCACCTCCAGCCTCATTCTCAACTCCAGCCTCATTCTCACCTCCAGCCTCATTCTCACCTCCAGCCTCATTCTCACCTCCAGCCTCATACTCACCTCCAGCCTCATTCTCAACTCCAGCCTCATTCTCACCTCCAGCCTCATACTCACCTCCAGCCTCATACTCACCTCCAGCCTCATTCTCACCTCCAGCCTCATACTCACCTCCAGCCTCATACTCACCTCCAGCCTCATACTCACCTCCAGCCTCATTCTCAACTCCAGCCTCATACTCACCTCCAGCCTCATTCTCACCTCCAGCCTCATTCTCACCTCCAGCCTCATACTCACCTCCAGCCTCATACTCACCTCCAGCCTCATACTCACCTCCAGCCTCATTCTCACCTCCAGCCTCATTCTCACCTCCAGCCTCATTCTCACCTCCAGCCTCATACTCACCTCCAGCCTCATTCTCACCTCCAGCCTCATACTCACCTCCAGCCTCATTCTCACCTCCAGCCTCATTCTCACCTCCAGCCTCATTCTCACCTCCAGCCTCATACTCACCTCCAGCCTCATTCTCACCTCCAGCCTCATACTCACCTCCAGCCTCATTCTCAACTCCAGCCTCATACTCACCTCCAGCCTCATACTCACCTCCAGCCTCATACTCACCTCCAGCCTCATACTCACCTCCAGCCTCATTCTCAACTCCAGCCTCATTCTCACCTCCAGCCTCATTCTCACCTCCAGCCTCATTCTCAACTCCAGCCTCATTCTCACCTCCAGCCTCATTCTCAACTCCAGCCTCATACTCACCTCCAGCCTCATTCTCAACTCCAGCCTCATACTCACCTCCAGCCTCATTCTCACCTCCAGCCTCATTCTCACCTCCAGCCTCATACTCACCTCCAGCCTCATACTCACCTCCAGCCTCATACTCACCTCCAGCCTCATTCTCACCTCCAGCCTCATTCTCACCTCCAGCCTCATTCTCACCTCCAGCCTCATACTCACCTCCAGCCTCATTCTCACCTCCAGCCTCATACTCACCTCCAGCCTCATTCTCACCTCCAGCCTCATTCTCACCTCCAGCCTCATTCTCACCTCCAGCCTCATACTCACCTCCAGCCTCATTCTCACCTCCAGCCTCATACTCACCTCCAGCCTCATTCTCAACTCCAGCCTCATACTCACCTCCAGCCTCATTCTCACCTCCAGCCTCATTCTCAACTCCAGCCTCATACTCACCTCCAGCCTCATACTCACCTCCAGCCTCATTCTCACCTCCAGCCTCATTCTCAACTCCAGCCTCATTCTCACCTCCAGCCTCATACTCACCTCCAGCCTCATTCTCAACTCCAGCCTCATTCTCACCTCCAGCCTCATACTCACCTCCAGCCTCATTCTCACCTCCAGCCTCATTCTCACCTCCAGCCTCATTCTCACCTCCAGCCTCATTCTCAACTCCAGCCTCATTCTCACCTCCAGCCTCATTCTCAACTCCAGCCTCATTCTCACCTCCAGCCTCATTCTCACCTCCAGCCTCATACTCACCTCCAGCCTCATACTCACCTCCAGCCTCATACTCACCTCCAGCCTCATACTCACCTCCAGCCTCATACTCACCTCCAGCCTCATACTCACCTCCAGCCTCATACTCACCTCCAGCCTCATTCTCAACTCCAGCCTCATTCTCACCTCCAGCCTCATACTCACCTCCAGCCTCATACTCACCTCCAGCCTCATACTCACCTCCAGCCTCATACTCACCTCCAGCCTCATTCTCAACTCCAGCCTCATTCTCAACTCCAGCCTCATTCTCACCTCCAGCCTCATACTCACCTCCAGCCTCATTCTCACCTCCAGCCTCATACTCACCTCCAGCCTCATACTCACCTCCAGCCTCATACTCACCTCCAGCCTCATACTCACCTCCAGCCTCATTCTCACCTCCAGCCTCATACTCACCTCCAGCCTCATTCTCACCTCCAGCCTCATTCTCACCTCCAGCCTCATTCTCACCTCCAGCCTCATTCTCACCTCCAGCCTCATTCTCACCTCCAGCCTCATTCTCACCTCCAGCCTCATTCTCACCTCCAGCCTCATACTCACCTCCAGCCTCATACTCACCTCCAGCCTCATACTCACCTCCAGCCTCATACTCACCTCCAGCCTCATACTCACCTCCAGCCTCATACTCACCTCCAGCCTCATTCTCACCTCCAGCCTCATACTCACCTCCAGCCTCATACTCACCTCCAGCCTCATACTCACCTCCAGCCTCATACTCACCTCCAGCCTCATACTCACCTCCAGCCTCATACTCACCTCCAGCCTCATACTCACCTCCAGCCTCATTCTCAACTCCAGCCTCATTCTCACCTCCAGCCTCATTCTCACCTCCAGCCTCATTCTCACCTCCAGCCTCATACTCACCTCCAGCCTCATTCTCAACTCCAGCCTCATTCTCACCTCCAGCCTCATACTCACCTCCAGCCTCATTCTCACCTCCAGCCTCATACTCACCTCCAGCCTCATACTCACCTCCAGCCTCATACTCACCTCCAGCCTCATTCTCAACTCCAGCCTCATACTCACCTCCAGCCTCATTCTCACCTCCAGCCTCATTCTCACCTCCAGCCTCATACTCACCTCCAGCCTCATACTCACCTCCAGCCTCATACTCACCTCCAGCCTCATACTCACCTCCAGCCTCATACTCACCTCCAGCCTCATACTCACCTCCAGCCTCATTCTCAACTCCAGCCTCATTCTCACCTCCAGCCTCATACTCACCTCCAGCCTCATTCTCACCTCCAGCCTCATACTCAACTCCAGCCTCATTCTCACCTCCAGCCTCATACTCACCTCCAGCCTCATACTCACCTCCAGCCTCATACTCACCTCCAGCCTCATACTCACCTCCAGCCTCATTCTCAACTCCAGCCTCATTCTCACCTCCAGCCTCATTCTCAACTCCAGCCTCATTCTCACCTCCAGCCTCATACTCACCTCCAGCCTCATTCTCACCTCCAGCCTCATACTCACCTCCAGCCTCATTCTCACCTCCAGCCTCATACTCACCTCCAGCCTCATACTCAACTCCAGCCTCATTCTCACCTCCAGCCTCATACTCACCTCCAGCCTCATTCTCACCTCCAGCCTCATTCTCACCTCCAGCCTCATACTCACCTCCAGCCTCATTCTCACCTCCAGCCTCATTCTCACCTCCAGCCTCATACTCACCTCCAGCCTCATTCTCACCTCCAGCCTCATACTCACCTCCAGCCTCATACTCACCTCCAGCCTCATACTCACCTCCAGCCTCATTCTCAACTCCAGCCTCATACTCACCTCCAGCCTCATTCTCACCTCCAGCCTCATTCTCACCTCCAGCCTCATACTCACCTCCAGCCTCATACTCACCTCCAGCCTCATACTCACCTCCAGCCTCATTCTCAACTCCAGCCTCATTCTCACCTCCAGCCTCATTCTCAACTCCAGCCTCATTCTCACCTCCAGCCTCATACTCACCTCCAGCCTCATACTCACCTCCAGCCTCATACTCACCTCCAGCCTCATACTCACCTCCAGCCTCATTCTCACCTCCAGCCTCATTCTCACCTCCAGCCTCATACTCACCTCCAGCCTCATTCTCACCTCCAGCCTCATTCTCACCTCCAGCCTCATTCTCACCTCCAGCCTCATTCTCACCTCCAGCCTCATACTCACCTCCAGCCTCATACTCACCTCCAGCCTCATTCTCAACTCCAGCCTCATTCTCACCTCCAGCCTCATTCTCACCTCCAGCCTTATTCTCACCTCCAGCCTCATTCTCACCTCCAGCCTCATACTCACCTCCAGCCTCATTCTCACCTCCAGCCTCATACTCACCTCCAGCCTCATTCTTATCTCCAAACCGTAAGTTCGATTTTACCAAATATTTATTCATTATTAATTATTTTATACAGCTTAGTTAATAAAAATATATTATACTTAATTATATCTCATCTGTTACATTAAATAATCATAGATTTTAATTTCAATATGATAATCGATTGGTAATCAAGTATTTTAATTATTGCTTATGTAATACATTTCTCATGCAAATCGATTGGTAATCATGCATTTTGCATATATAATCGTTTATAATGCGTAGTTTTAAAAAGTGGAAAATATAATATTTAATGTAGATTCTTAAAAATCAACAGTATTTTATTATATATATAAAGAATATCGCATTAATGTATAAAACATTATTTGTGAGTATAAGTTGAAAACAACAAGTAAATAGTTGGTAAAATCGAATTTATTGCATATTCATTAAAATCTATTTTGCATTTTTCCATTATTACTTCTGATGTCGCATTTTATATGCTATAAAAAACTTAATTTATTGAAATTGGGATAAAATTTTGTTTTCTCTTGAATTATATTTGAGGAAGAAATTCAGATTTTATGACGAAAATAATCAAAAGTATGCATATATGTTACATTTCCAATTCTTAATATATTGTGGAAGTTACACGATAAATTGATAAAGGGTTACTGAAATTATTGAAAATTGTGAAATTTTGGTATCTTGAAATCGGCCGTAGTTTTGTACAACAATTCTTAAAGGTATCCTCAGAGATATATATTGATCCTAAAGCGTAATTATAAAATCATCGTAAATGGTAGCCCCATTATAAAAAAATGAAAAAAAATAAACGTTCACCTATATAGAGTATTGAATACATTAAACGGTCTCTTTAGGTAAATTGAAAGGGTTATCAAAAAGTTTTGTGCCAAATTAAGTGGGAAAAGGGTATTAATCATGTGAGCACTCGAAGTAACTCTAATCGATCTATCTCAAAATTTCATGATTGTCCATCTCAAAAATACATTTGTTCGACTCAAATATTGAAGGCTATTTGAAAAAGTTGCTAAGTCTAATCATAACATTACAAACAGATTAGAGATATAATTTAAAAAAAACGTGCCACTCAGGACTCGAACATGAAATCTCCTGCTCCGAAGGCAGGCGCCTTATCCATTGGGCCAGTAGCACTTACATTTTATTCAAATTTTTGTTAATGGGAAATTATAATTTTCAAAAAAATAAGTTTTATTATGTTATATTATAAATCTACGCAAATTAGCTTTTAAATTTCTTGTCGAAACACATCAAATAATAGTATAATCTTTTAATATTATCATATGGTTTATTTTACTGATTTTGATCATCATGGATTTTAAAATTATTAAGTTTTCTTAGGAGTATATTTTAAAAGTTTTGAAAATAATAAAATTCATCATATCACTTTTAATATTATTTATTTACTCTGTTTATCATCTTTTGTTGATATTATATAATTGTGAATTGGATTCCATTTTTTGCATAGTTTTTATGGAAAGAACAATTACATGATAATCATAAATTATTAATCTTTAATGATATCATTACATTCGTATATACATTTTTATTCATCAAAATGATTTTGAAACTCAAACTTTTTTTTTTGTGTAAATTGTTAATATTTTAATTTCATTTAATGTAAAATTCACGTGAAATACTTAAGAATTTTCTAGTAAAAAACTATTTTTATTTTCTTTTTTATTCTTCAGAAAAAGTTATATTCGAAAATTTTTATAATAAACTGGTACGCAAATTCTCGTACTATTCAAATTTGAATGACTTTTTCAAATATTGAATTGATTATTTTTTAAATTCAATGAAATTGAATAGTACGAAAATTTGCGTACCAGTTTATGGAAGATCTTTTTTATGATACAGAGAAAATTGATCAATTTATTCAAATACAAAGCAATTTACTAGATTTAGCACCAAACTCAAGTGAAGAAGAGCTTGATAATTTAATAAAACGTATTCCACCAAATTATCTAAATCAAAAATATGATTTAATGACGATATGTCAACTTTTTATTTATTATTCACGCAATAACATTCATAATATCAAAGGTAATACAATTAAATTATTAGAAAAAATCATGAAACAAATCAAACTTTACTTATCAGATGAATCTACATTTTTCTGGAACATCTCAAGCGGCCTCTTCTACCTGAAACTTTGGTTTTATGAGGAAAATCTCATCTCAATTGAAGAAATAATCGGATACTGCAGAATAAAGAATCATTTTGCCGCAAGAGAATACTTTTTTCCAGAAATCATTGAGAAAGAGCCAGAAACTTTTGAGAGTGATTTCAAACCGATTCTTCAGACAACTTTTTCAGAACAATACATCAACAATTTCAAAGAATTAAGGAAGAAATATTTTAACTGGCTCCGAAATTCATGCGATTATCACGATCCTTCATATCTTGAGATTGAAAAGAATCAACTTCGACTGGCAATAAAAACAGACGACATTGATTCGTTCCAAAGAATTCTTTCTGGCTCGAACATTTCGATTGATTCGACAATTTGTGAGTCACTTATTGAGAACCACATTCGAGATTCGAAGGAAGTTTCATTGATTGAATATGCAATTGAATTCAATTCAATCAAAATCGTTAAGTATTTGGTCATGAATGACGTCAAACTCACTGATCGAACAATTTTCAATGCAATTGTCAAGAGAAACAATGACGTTATTCACATCATCGAATCGAGAAAAAGAACTGATTTCTTCAAAGAATCGTTTTTTTGCTCAATTTCAACATGGAATCATGACGTGCTTGAATACACACTTGAAAATGGAAAATTAAACATTTTCGAAAACGAACAAAACAATGGTGATTTAAACATCATCATTCGAAATACATTTTCATCATTCAATTTCCACTTTTTCAAGGAATATCTTCTTCCTTTCTTCAGGAAAGATCAAAGTTTTGTAAAGGATTCATTGTATGCCATTATTTTAAATACATTCTTCGATTTTTCGTGCTTCTTTCTAAACCCGTTTTTGAAGTTGCCAGGAATTGACATCAACTTTTGCTCTTTCTCACCAGAAGACAAGCAGCCTCTTCTTGTCAAAGCCGTTAAGATGCAGAACGCACGAGCAATTGAAATCATTTTAAGTAATCCTTCAATTGACATCAATAGTAAAGGTGGTGCAAATTTCAATGCTTTCCAGTTTGCTTGTGCTGGCCAAATAAATATGAAAATAATCAAAATGCTTTGCAATCATACAAAATTTGAAATTGATTGGTCAGAGAAGACATATAAACTTACTGGTTTTCAATTCAGTATGATAAAAGGACATAGTTATGCAACTGAGTATTTAATTAATCGTTACCCTCACCTTGTTGACGATAAATGCTTCCAAATTTTCGAATATTGTATCATAAATCATTCTATAAAGAGTATGAAAATTGTATTAAAACATTATCTGGAGAAAAATAAAGATATCACAAGAGATAATGTATTGGATAAGTTTGAATATTATGCATCATATATACAAGGATATAAAGATGATGACTTTGATACTTTTACAAAAGTTCTAGATGAGCTACAAAAATGAAATAATAGGTTTAGATGTTGTTGATTTCAATATATAAAATGAAATTGCACTTTATAATTGATTGCTTGTTTTCTTGGACATCAAAATTTACTCATTTGTTCATTCTGGAATAGCAAAAATGATGAGCATCCACAAAAAAAAATCATGCTAAATATTACACAAATTTGCAATTAAAAACGATTTGATATTAACTCAACGAATAGCTCTAAATTCAATTTGTTCAAAATTTTGATATAAATTGATAAAAAAGTGAATATTTGTTAGAAATACCGGAAGATCACAATTATCTTTATTTTAACTCCCTATTTGTATCTAACTGCTTTCTAAAATTTCGATTTTGCAAACTATTTCGGATAACATTCATTGACTGAGTAAATCTTTCTCTAATTCGCAATTCTTTTGGTATATTTAGTTTTTTTTTTTTTTTTTTTTTTTTTTTTTGAATTGCCATTTAGAAAAAGTTAGATTTGTATTTTAACTTTTTGCAAGGGCCGATATTTTTTTTTTTTTTTTATCCTTCCTATTAAATAGCATTATGAGTAACCAAGAACTTTTGGAAGCTTCAAAAAAGGGTGATATCAATTCAGTTCGACGAATTCTTGCAAACAAAGCCATTAACATAAATTATAAAGGTATTTGAAAAACAAAATTACTTTTGAAATTCAAGACTTCCTTTTATATCTTATTTTAATTAATATTTATTTATGGAATTTAGCTTGGACATTTAATTATACTTCGTTAATGTGGGCTGTGCAAAATAATCATATGGAAGTCTTTCAACTTTTATTAGAACAAAAAGGTATTGACATCAACTGCAAAGACATTTGAATGCAAAATCATTCATGATATTCAATTCTAGCTTTTTTATGCTATTGAAATTTAAAATTATATATCAAATTTCAACTTCAACATTTTTATATGACTCCTTTAATTCTTACAGCTTCTCATGGTCGTACACAAATGGCCAAACTTTTATTAGCTCAAGAAGGCATTGATATTAACAGCTCAAATATTTAAACGCAAAATCATTTATCAAATTCAAAAAAATGCGTTTTTGTTTATTGTATTTAAATTTATAATTTTTTTTATGGAATTCAACATCAGTATTTAATTATTCGGCATTAAATTTTGCTGCGCAATATGGGCATGCAGATATTGTTGAACTTTTATTAGCACAAAAAGATATTGACTTCAACAGCAAATCCATTTGAATGAATAATTAATTCATGACATTTAAAATTAAATATTAGATTGATATTTGCAGTTGATTGTTTATGGAATTTAATTAAAAAAAAATTAACGTAACACCGTTGCATTCAGCTGCAGGTCGAGGATATATAGAAATTGTTCAACTTTTATTAGCACAAAAGGGAATTAAAATCAACTGTACAGCATTAATTTTTACACTATTTGTCGTTTTTATGGAATATAGAGCGAGTATTTTATTTTACACCATTAATTTGGGCTGTACAGACTGGCCAAAAGGAAATTGTTCAACTTTTATTGGCACAAGAAGGTATTAATATCACCATAAAAGACATTTGAATGAATACAATTCATTGGATTTTTAAATCTTACTCTTTTCATAATATTTAAAACTAATACTATTTTATAATATTTTGAAAATAAAATATCAATAAAACAGCCATTGATTACGCAAAAGAAAAAGATTATCAAGAAATTGTTGAGCTTCTCACTAAAGCTCTAAATAAAGTTGTTCCACAATCATCATCAGATGTAAAAAATCAACAACAGCCAGCATGCAAAAGGCATAAAAAGGATAAAACAAAAAAGGAAGAACAAAGCCGTCAAATAGAAGAACAAAATCGCCAATTTGAAGAACAAAAGTGTCAATTAGAAGAACAAAAGTGTCAATTAGAAGAACAAAAACGGCGAATAGAAGAGCAAAAGATTCAAATGGAAGAACAAAAACGTCAAATTGAAGAACAAAAGCGTCAATTTGAAGAATTAAAACAGCAATTTGAAGAGCAAAAACAGCAATCTGAAGTCCAAAAACAGAAGTTTGAAGAGCAATTGAAAATTAATCGCCAGATAACTGACGAACTTTCCCAACTGAAACAGCTAATCTTCTCTCTCACAGGGAACAATCAAGTATTAAATCAATTGAACCAAAATCAGGTTTAAATAAATAAATAAATAATTAATTTTTCTTATTCATTTTAATACTGAGTGTAGGCAAAATTTATAGAATGAAGGCAAAGAAATAGAATAATTATTTGTTATATTAAATGTATGCTTTCTTAACTCAACAAGACAAAAAAGTTTCTATTATTAAGTCAAAAAAATACTTCGTTATTTTTGTTGTTATTGAACTCAAATTAGATTAACTCTCTGGATTTATAATTTTAAAGTTACTGGAACTGATGATTGCAAATAAATTCAGTACATTGGAATGTTAAATATATAAAAAAACTTTGAAAAAATGAATTAATGTTTATTTATTGTGTAGGCGGTTGTTGAAGTTTTCCAAAGAATTCCATATTTTCAAACATACCATCATATCTCTCTTCACAATACCAGCAATAACCTGTTTCAAGAAGTCGAATGAAACGATAGTACTTGTCT